CCTCTGGCTATTCCTGAGTTATATGCTTTATAATAAACCAGTGATTTAGTAAGTAAAATGTTACTCTAAATTCTGTGAGCTGCCTTAGCAAATTAATTGAACTCAAGGAGAGGGTCATGGGATGCTCTGACTCAAAGCTATTGTTCAGAAGCATAGGTGACAACCTGGACTTGCTATCAGCATCTGAAGTTGAGGACTAATGGGACTGAATCCTTAACCTGTGGTATCTTACATTATCTCCACATACAATATGTCAGAATTGACTTAAACTGTAGGGCACCCAGCTGGTGTCAGAGAATTGCCAAGTGTGGGAAAAACTACCACACATCTGATGACCAGAGTGCAGTAGTACTAAGAGTATTTGTCCAGTTCAAAGAAAAACAACAGGGTTTTTACCTTACAACACTATTTTACAAATAAGGAAACAAAAGAAAAAACAGAAATGTTTGGTCCCAGTTGTCACAGCTCAGCAGTGATACAGTGGAGTTAGAATTTAGTCTCAGACCTACTAATTTCTTCAATCAGAATATTATATTCCAGAAGGTAAGATAATGAAAATAAATTAAAGGCAAGAGGAGGAACTCCTGTTACCTGATTCCAGAGAATTACTGTCTTCATCGAAGGGGCCAAAACCAGCATTTGATGACAACACTGCCACAAAACCTTCCTTAAATTCCTCAAAGTTAACCTGGGCGAATTTAAGAAAAGAGGTAAATGTTACTTTCAACAGAACTCACATGTAATCCATCAGTCTTTTTTTTTCTTAGATGGAAACATCTTATTGTTGCCTTTGAGAATATTCATTTCATTTTTTTCAAAAATTTACTTAAGATTTTTAAAAATAGGAGGTCCAAGATGGTGGCAACATAGGGGGATGCTGAACTTATCCCTCCTATGAGCATACTGAAATATATACCTATATATAGAGCAATTACTCCTGAGACACAGTTAAAGGATGACTGAAAGCTTCTGAACAATAAATGAGAGAAAAAGAACAAATAGGGAAGCATGGGAAACTGCAGGAACCCTCCAGGATCTGCAGGGTTTCTCCAGGATTGGAGGTGCCAGCAAGCACCCTTGTTTACATCCCCCTCCAATTCCACTGGACAGGTGGGGTCTCTATCCAGATGCTCTGGCCTACCTGCAAGATTGCTGCAGCACATTCCCAGATGCACTGCCCAGAGCCCATTTTGGCTCCAAACAAAGGGAGAAAGCAGGCTTAACAGAACACTACATGAACCTGGCCTCCCCTCTTGGAGCTCCTACAGCTTAGTGGGCCAGTTCCCCAGATACCGTGGGCACATGCTTGGCTCCCAAACTGCCTCCCAAAACCAACCGGCATACTTAGCCTACACAGAGTTTGCTCTTACATAAGACCACTTTTTCAAGATTGGGAGAGCTATTTTGTCTAATTTATATAAACAAACATAGAAAGGTGAACAAAATGAAAAGACAGAAGATATCGCTCACATGAAGGAAAAAGAAAAACCCCAGGGGGGAGGGGGAACCTAAGAAGCAGAGATCAGTAATTTGCCTGATAAAGAATGAAAAGAAATGGCCCTAAGGATGCTCACCACACTTGTGAGTGGAATAGAAGAACTTAGGGAGAACTTCAACATAGAGTTAGAAAGTATAACAAAGGACCAAGTAGAATACAATAATACACTAGAAGAAATCAAAATCAGATTAGCTAACAGAGAAGAACGAATCAGTGACCTGTAAGACAGACTAGTAGAAATCACCCAGTCAGAATAGCAAAAAGAAAAAATAATTTTAAAAAATGAAGATAGGTTAAGGAACCTCTGTGACAACATCAAGCACACTAACATTTGCATTGTAGGGATTCCTGAAAGAGAAGAAAGGAACAAAAACTTTATTGGAAAAAAATAATGGCTAAAAACTTTCCTAACCTGAGAAAGGAAACAGAAATCCAGATCTGGGAAATACAGAGTTCTAAACAAGATGAACACAAGAGAGACCTACATTAAGACATACTGTAATTAAAATGTCAAAAGTTAAAGAGACAATCTTGAAGGCAGCAAGAGGAAAACAACTAGTGACATAAGAAGAAACCTTCCCCCTCATTAGGATATCAGCTGATTTTGCAGCAGCAACTTTACAGGCCAGAAGGCAGTGGCAGAACATCTTTAAAGTGCTGAAAGAAATAAAACCTACAACTTAGAATAATTTAACCAGAAAGGTTATCATTCAGAATTGAAGGAAAGATAAAGAGTTTACCGGACAAGCCAAAACTAAAGAAGTCCATCACCATTAAATCAGCTTTAGAAGAAATGTTAAAAGATCTTCTTTAAACAGAAAAAGTAAGACCATAAGTACAAATAAAAAAACAGGAGAGAGGAAAATATCTCACAGATAAAGTCAAATATTTAATAAACAGAGCAAATCAGACATTCAAAACCAGAAAGTGTGGAGGTGGGTAAAAATGTAGTCCTTTCAGAATATAGTCAAACTTAAATGCCTATCACCTTAAAATAGACTGGTACAGATATAGAATGATATACATAAAGCTATGGTAACCAAAACCCAGAAAACTACAAAGGATAAACACAAAGAATAAAAAGAAAGGAACCCAAACAAAACACTAAAGAAAACCAGCAAACCACAAGGGAAGAGATCAAGACAAGAAGAAAAGAACAGAGGAGAACTACAAAAGCAACCAAAAAACAAAAAGCAAACAAAAAAATAATAAAATGACAATAAGAATAAACTTAATTATTTTATTGTAAATGGATTAAATGCACCAATGAAAAGACATAGGGTGGCTGAAAAGATTTTAAAAAAATGGTCTGTTGATATGTTTCTCAAGAGACTCACTTCAAATTGAAAGACACATACAGACTGAAAGTGCACGGATGGAAAAAGATATTCCATTAGTGATACTCATATCAGACAAAATGGACTTGGAAAAAAAATGTAAAAAAAGACAAAGAAGGACATTAGATAACGAGAAAGGGATTGATACAAGAAAAGGATAGGACAATCATAAATATCTACACATTCAACATAGGATCACCTAAATATATAAAGCAAGTAATAATGGACATAAAGGGAGAAATTCACGATAATTCAATAATAGTACGGAATTTTAATAACCTATTCATATCAATAGATAGATCATCCAGACTGAAATTAATAAGGAAATAAGTGGCCTTAAATGTCACATTATGCCAGATTGACTTAGACATTTACAGAACATTTCATCCAAAACCTGCAAAACACATTTTTTTTTTCATGTGCACATGGAACATTATCCAGGATACAGCACATAATAGGCCACAAAACAATCCTCAGTAAGTTTAATAAGATGTAAATCATATCAAATATCTTTTCTGGCCACAATGGCATGAAACTAGAAATCGACTACAAAAAGAAAACTGGAAAAAATACAAATACATAGAGACTAAACAACATGCTACTAAACAACCAATGGATCATGAAGGAAATCAAACAGGAAATCAAAAACTACCTTGAGACAAATGAAAGTAAAAACACAACTTTTCAAAATTTATGAGATACAGCAAAAGCAGTTCTAAGAGGGATGTTCATAGCTATATATATATATATATGTCTACCTCAAGAAACAAGAAAATCTCAAATAAACAATCTAACTTTACACCTAAAGGAACTAGAAGAAGAAGAACAAACAAAATCCAAAGTAAACAGAAGAGAAGAAATAATAAAGATCAGAGTGAAATAAATGAAATAGAAATTTAAGAAAAACAACAGAAAAGATCAATAAAAGAGCCGGTTCTCTGACAAGATGCAAAACTTACCAAGATGAAAAGAAAGCCCAAATAAATGAAATCATAAATGAAACAGAAGTTACAACCAATACCATAAAAATATAAAGAATCATTAAAGACTACTACAAATAATTATATTCCAACAAATTTGACAATCTAAAAAATATAGATAAATTTCTAGAAGCATATAACCTTCCAATATTGACAGGAAGAAACAGAAATCTAAAGATTGATTACTAGCAATGAAACTGAAGCAGCACTAAAAATAAAAAACCTCCCGAAAAATACAAGTCCAGGACCAGAAGGCTTCACAGGTGAATTCTATCAAACATTTAAAGAATTAATACCTATCCTTCTTAAACTATTTGAAAATTTTTTTTCAAAAAATTTGAAAAAAATTGCAAATCAAAACCACTTCTAAACTCAGAATACGAAGCCAGCATTACCCTGATTCCAAAACCAGATGACATTACAAAAAAATAATAATAATTACAGGCCAATATTTTTGATGAATATGGATGCAAAAATTCTCAACAACATATTAACAAACTAAATTCAACAACACATTGAAAGGATTATAAATCATAACCAAGGAGAATTTATCCCAGGGATGCAAGGATAGTTCAACACCTGTAAATCAATCAACATGATACATCATATTAACAAAATGAAAGATAAAAATCATATGATCATTTCAATAGATATAGAAAAAGTATTTGCCAAAATTCAACATCATTTTATGATAAAAACTCTCAACAAAGTAGTTAAAAAGAACATACTTCAACATAATAAAAGCCATATATAACAAACCCAAATATCGTACTCAATGGTAAAAAGTTGAAAGCTTTTCCTCTAGACCAAGAACAAGACGAGGATGTCCACTCTTGCCACTTCTATTCAAAATAGTACTGGAAGCCCCAGCCACAACAATCAGACAAGAAAAAGATATAAAGGCATTCAAAATAGAAAGGAAGAAAGAAACTCGCATTATTTGCAGACGACATACTATACATAGAAAACCCTAAAGACTCCACCCAAAAAAATATTAAAACTAATAAATGAATTCGGTAAAGTTCCAGGATACAAAATTAATATACAGAAATCTGAGGAATTTCTATGCTCCAATAATGAATGAATAAAAGGAGAAATTAAGAAAACAAACCCATTTACAATTGCATCAAAAAGCATAAAATACCTAGGAATAAATTTGATCAAAGAGGTGAAAGACCTGAACTCTGAAAACTTTAGGGCACTGAAGAAAAAACTGAAGAGGATCCAAATAAATGGAAGGATATACCATGGATTTGAAGGATTAATATTGTTAATATGACCTAAAACAATATACAGATTCAATGCGATTCCTATTAAAATATCCATGGAATTCTTCTCGGAATTAGAATTAATCTTAAAATTTACATGGAATCACAAAAGACCCTGAATAGCCAAAGAAACCTTGAGAAAGAACAAAATAGGATATATGCTCCCCAATTTCAAACCACACTACAAAGGTACAATAATAAAAAAATGGTATGATACCGGCATAAAAACATATATAGGCCAGAAATAAACCCTTGTTTATACGGTCAGTAATTTACAACGAAGGAGGCAGGAATACACAATGGGGTAAAGATAGTCTCTTCAATAAGTGGTGCTAGAAAAAGTAAACAGATACATACAAAAAATGAAACCAGACCACTTTCTTACACCATATACAAAAAAAACAAAACAAAAAACAAACAAAAACCCTCAAAACAGACTAAAGATTTAAATGTAAAACGTAAAACCATAAAACTTAAAAAATAAAACAGTAAACTCTGACACTGCTCTTAGTACTATTTTTGGATATGTCTCTTTGGGCAAGGGCAACAAAAGAGAAAATAAACAAATGGGACTACAACAAACTAAGAAGTTTTTGCACAGCAAA